AATCATAAGCAGGTTTCTCAACAGTTCATGAAGCCAAGCAGAGGAGCAGCCACCCCAGAATGCCCAACCCTTCCAGGGCCGATTTTTCCAGCAGTTGCTACTTCCCCACACAGGAGCCAGTCGGTTACGGCAGCACTTTTATTTTTCTTCACACAATGACGTGTTGCTGGGGCCTAATGTTCTCACATAACAGTAGAAAACCGAAATTTGTTGTCATCTCTTTCAAGATTTGACAGTTGTGTACAATAAAAAAAAAACCTTACATAAATTAAAAGGATGAATACATTTACAGGTGTAAATGAAAACCGCTTCCAACTCAAGGCAAGTAACAGCCCATGGTGCTCTGGCAGGAAAACATCAGGTAAGAAAGGAGACCGGGTCCTATGGCTTGGACTTTCCCACCCTGACAGACTGGCAGCCCTTGCCAGCCTCTAGAGCAATCCCAGAACACTAAGCTCTGACACATGAATACCCTGCTCAACTAAGAGACTGCTGGCCATGCACTCACCAAGGCAGACTTGTCTGCCCCCAAGCACATTTTTACCTCAGCCACGAAGTGACCAAGCCACATGTACTAAAAGTTGAAATCTGCTATGTACAGGGTATTAAACAAATAAGGGGAACAATTAACTTGAATACAAGGTCAAAATCAGCAACAAGTTCTACAATCCAGTGCTGATATCAGATACAAGCTTCAAGGACAATTTCTTTTCAAAGGCTTATTCCAGTTTCATGAGGCTAGCATGAGGTGTATGCATTTGCCAGGGGCAAATTTATACTTCCGAATTAACCCATGCAGCAAATGCTACGCATCTGCTCGCAGTCCATTTAGAAGCATTTGCGGTGGACGATGGAGGGGCCAGACTCATCGTACTCCTGCTTGCTAATCCACATCTGTTGGAAGGTGGACAGTGAGGCCAGGATGGAGCCGCCGATCCACACGGAGTACTTACGCTCTGGGGGTGCAATGATCTGCAAAGACAGCCAGGCATGGCTTGAGTTCACACAGCATCCCCAGCCAGGCATCCTGAGCCAGGCCGAGGGCCACCGATCCCTTAACTCACCTTGATCTTCATGGTGCTGGGCGCAAGAGCAGTGATCTCCTTCTGCATCCTGTCGGCGATGCCTGGGTACATGGTGGTGCCGCCAGACAGCACAGTGTTGGCGTACAGGTCTTTGCGGATGTCCACATCACACTTCATGATGGAGTTGAAGGTGGTCTCATGGATGCCACAAGATTCCATGCCTAGGGGACAAAGCCCTCCCTTAGTGGTGCTATGGTGCCCAGAATCAAAGCGCTCTCAGAAGCCCTTAGACTGAACACCTACCAAGAAAAGAAGGCTGGAACAGCGCCTCCGGACACCGGAACCGCTCGTTACCAATGGTGATGACCTGGCCGTCAGGCAGCTCATAGCTCTTCTCCAGAGAGGAGGAGGATGCAGCTGTGGCCATCTCCTGCTCGAAGTCCAGGGCGACATAGCACAGCTTCTCCTTGATGTCGCGTACGATCTCCCGCTCGGCCGTGGTGGTGAAGCTGTAGCCGCGCTCCGTGAGGATCTTCATGAGGTAGTCGGTCAGGTCCCGGCCAGCCAGGTCCAGACGCAGGATAGCGTGTGGAAGGGCATAGCCCTCATAAATGGGCACCGTGTGGGTTACCCCGTCTCCAGAGTCCATGACAATACCAGTGGTGCGCCCAGAGGCGTAGAGGGACAGCACGGCCTGGATAGCCACGTACATGGCTGGGGTGTTGAAGGTCTCAAACATGATCTGAAGGTAGAAGACGAGACGGCTTAGTCAGGGGCAAGGACCCGCGACCACCCCATGCTCACACGCCACAACATGCTGCATGCCAGTGTGATGTGTGGAGAACAGAAAAGAACGCAGGCAGAAACCAAATAAGAAACCTGGAGGCTTCAGGGAGGAAATGCCGGGAGAGGAACAGAGCCTGGAACAGCGAAAGAAACACTTAAATGTCAGAAATCAAGCTGGGCAGAAAATGACTAGGAAAACGGACGAGAGCACGGGCATCGCCGAGCCTCACCTGAGTCATCTTCTCTCTGTTGGCCTTGGGGTTCAGGGGGGCCTCGGTCAGCAGCACGGGGTGCTCCTCCGGGGCCACACGCAACTCATTGTAAAAAGTGTGGTGCCAGATTTTCTCCATATCATCCCAATTGGTGACGATGCCGTGCTCGATGGGGTACTTCAGGGTCAGGATGCCGCGCTTGCTCTGGGCCTCGTCGCCCACGTAGGAGTCCTTCTGGCCCATGCCGACCATCACGCCCTGCAGGGAGTTGCCATCAGGCTCGCCGCGGCCCCCGATCCCATCCCGCAGCGCAGAACCCAGGAGCCCCGTGGCGCCCTCCACTCACCTGGTGCCGAGGGCGCCCGACAATGGAGGGAAACACGGCTCGGGGGGCGTCGTCCCCAGCAAAGCCAGCTTTGCACATGCCGGAACCATTGTCGATGACGAGCGCAGCAATTTCTTCTTCCATTGCGACCTGCCAGGAAAGCGACGGACTCAGGCGGGGCCCGCTGGAAAACAACCCCGCCACCCAGAGCCAACCAAGACCCTCCGGCGGAGGAGCGTTACGCTCCACCCCAACCCCGGAAGCCGAAGCCTCCAACACCACAACAGCTTTGAACCAGCACCCGTGCCTTTTACGTAAAGCCCACCGCCCCGAACTCCGCACTGCGGCCGGGCCCCGCCCTAAACCTACGGCATCCGCCCAACGGTACCCGCGTGGCCCACCCAGGCGGAGCCAGCCTTTTGTTCCCGAAAACGACGCGGCGAAGCGTCCGCGGCGGAAAGCGGGGCCCGCGGGGGTCGAGGGGGGACGGCCAGAAACATCCTCCTCGGGTCCGATGAGGAGCGCTTACCAGCAGAGGAGCAGGGGAGCGGAGCAGCAAGAGAACACCGTACGCGACCTGGCAGCGGCGACTGAGACCGACTGGGGCCTCCCGCGCCGCTTTTTAAGAGAAAGCAGCGCGCCCGCGCGGCCCGGCGGCGCGCGCGGCCCCAGAACATGTCCATATATGGCGATCTTTCCGAAAGCCGGGCGCTCATTGGCCCGCCCGGCCTGGTCACGTGGGGCCCCGGTCCGCCCCGCCCCCAGCCCGCACCACCTCCCACCGGCACCGCCTGCGCCACCCCCGCGCGCTCGCGACACTGCGCGGTCTGGCGGGCGGGGCTGGCGAGGGGGGCTGGGTGGGGTCTCCCTCCCGGGGTCGCTCGGAAGGCCGAAGGGCTGACGGGCCTGGCTGCGACCCGGGACTGCCGTGTGGGGAGGGCCGGGCTGCGCCCCGAAACTGCCTGACCCGGGGCGGGGCCATGCGGGAGCTGGGGTGGGTCCCCGCGGTCCGGGCCACGCTGCGGGGCTTTGCTCCCCGGGACGTCCCCTGCGGGCTTTCCCTTCGGGCTCCACGCCCGGGCCGGGCTGGGGGAGGGGCGCGGCGGGGATCCCCGGCGCTCGGCGTTTCTAGGTGCGGGGGAGCCCTCACCTCGCCCCGGTCACCATAGGAAGAAGCCTCCCGTCCCCGAACGCAGCCACTACCCCACAGGTCCCTCCACGGGGCGCCCCGCCCCGGGTCTCCGTGGGTTTGGAGCCCGATACCCCTTTCTACCCGAGCCGACACATCCCTGTCCCTGAAATCACAGGCCCGGTTTGCCCCAGGCGCAGGCTCCGGGTAGGGGCTATCCCGCCCCCTATCTGCTGAGTAGGCGGTGCGCAGCGAGGCCTTTGTTTCATGCTGCTCACCTGTAGACATTATAGGGAAACTGAGGTAGAGACCATAATCTTGACTTTCTTGAAGGTCGGCTCCCCAGTCTGGGGAGGCCGCGGGGAATCCCCTCCCTGTTTTCGAGGCCAGTTAAAGGCAGGGGGTCAGGGCTGGCGTGGGTTTGGGCACAGGCTGGCTGGTCCCGGGCGCGCACGCCTCGCTTGGAGACTCGGCGGGAAGACCTGTCATCCCCGGCACCGGCCTGGCCGCACCTGCTAGCGCGGTGCTTCGGTTACACCCCGCGGGGCTCCCGGCGCTACGGTTTCCGTGTGTGCTGTGGAATTTTCAGGATGAGAGTGCCGGCCACGGAGGGGCAGTGGGGCGGCGCAGTGAGGCGACGACTCGGCCAAGGTCGCAGACCGTTCAGCTGTACTCGACAGGCTGGGGGGCGCGACCGAGGTCCCCACGCGGAGTCCCGCGCCCTGAGCCCTGCAAAGTGAGCTTCAGACGCGGTGTTTGGGAGTCGGGCCCAGCTCACCTGCGGGCTGCAGTCACCCCGGACCCCGAGACCTGTGCCTAAGACCTCGGTATCCCAGGCCTCCCGGGGGTGCTCAGCCCCACAGGCACAGACTCCGGGGACCGGGCAAGCTTCTCAGGTGTGTGCCTTACCGGGGCGAAACCGGGGCTGAGCCCCCAACAAACACACCCGGACTCGCGTCCCTGGGCAAAAGAACGGCAGCCTGCTCGACCCCCGGATGGGGACTTCCACTTGGGGGTCCCAACATACGACGTCACACACCGAGGGACTCGTAGGGGGGGTGGACAGTAGCCACAGGCCCCTCTGTCCGGCGTCCGCCCTCCCCACGTTCCGCTAAGCGCCGGCTGGGGACCCTGCCCCTCCGGGCCTCCGGCCTCTAAAGCTCCTTTGTCTCAGAAGTGCGGAAAGGCGCAGGCCCCGGGCGCGACCCCCCTTTCTTCCCCACGTTGCGGACCCAGGGCCGCCAGGGTCTTGGGGGCGGGTTGGCGCCTCGATACCCTTGGACTCCCCGCCTCCCGGCATGGCGTGAGCCGCAGAGAGTAGGCGCCGCCGCGGGCCGGGCGGGAAGCGACTTCCTCTTCCGCGGCCGCGTCACGCGGCGGGGGCAAAGGTGCGGCCCAGGTGCGCGGCGGGGGGGCGGCGGCGCGGCCATATTTGGCGATTTCGGCGCTGCCGGAGCCCCGCCCGCCCCGCCGGGAAGCCCGGCCCTGGGCAGCGCCGTCCCCACCCGCCGCGGGGCCTGAGTCACCGCGGGCGGGGGGCGGAAGTAACGGACGGGGGGCGCCCGACCGGCGCTCCTGGCCTTATTTAGTCAAGGAGGCCGCCGATTGGCGCGCGGGACAGAGTGGCGGCGGCGGAGCAGCCCGGGGGCGCAGGGAACGGCCCGGCGCCTCCGAGGGGGCAGGGTGGGAGCCTGAGGAGTCCGGAGCTGAGGGCAGCGGGGGACGCCGGGCCACCTGCTCCTGGGAAGTGCGCGGGCAGCCGGAGCGGCCCGGGCGAGGCCTGGAGCCCGCGGGACACGGCGGGGGCTGGACCGCGCGCTGTGATTTTTCTGTTTTGCAGCTGGGCCTCGCCCAGAGTCGCTCCGGGGCTGTCCTGGGTTATGCTCTGTGAAATTAGTGGCACAGGGCGGCCGCCACCCTTCTGGAACTGGAGCTGAGAGGGGAGCTGGGGGGAGCTGGGCGGCCCCCGGAGCTGGGAGAGTCAGCAGCTGCGCTTCCGCCAGAGGTGGGTGTGTCCTTCACATTTCAGGAACGCAGACTTGGGGCTCAGAGGAGCGATGTGATTTTTCTTATCTAGTTCAGTGCTGGCTTTGGTGGCTTTTTTTTTTTTTTTACCATCAGCAATGTGAAAAGTGGTTTTTTATTATGACCTTGTTATGTCTTGTTTCAATTTCGGCCCATTTGGTGGATATGAGAACGGTGGCCCAGGGAGGTGGCCTGAGTTGGGAGGTGTGGCAGAGCTGAGACAACCCAGGGCCTGCACCCCCTACGGCCTGGCACTGCCCCACCTCTAGGTCCTTGCCCTGTACTTCCCTTTACACTGGGTCAGCCTCCAGACTGTGGGTAATTTCCACACCGTTGACATTTCCCCCCCAGCCCTTACCGCCTCCCACCTGGCCAAGACTGGCTACTAGTCAGACAGGGGCTTAGGCATGGGTCCCCACCCGTGGCCTTTGCCTCTGTCACTCCACCTGCCTGGAATGTCTTTTCTTTCTTTCCTTCTTTTCTTCCTTCCTTCTTTCCCTCCCTCTGTCGCCCAGGCTGGAGTGCAGTGGCATTATCTCATACTGCAATCTCTGTCTCCCGGGTTCAAGTGATTGTCGGGTCCCAGCTTCCCAAGTAGCTGAGACTACATGGATGCACCATCACACCTGGCTAATTTTTGCATTTTTGGTAGAGACAGGCTTTCGTCTGCAGTCTGGAACTCCTGACCTCAAGTGATCCACCCACCTAGCCTTCCACAGTGCTGGGATTACAGGCATGAGCCACCACGCCCAGCCTGGAATGTCTTATCTTTCCCAGCAAATGAAACGACAGACCCTGAACAGAAAAAGGAAAACTAGCAAACCCCAAAGCCTCAAGTTTGGTCGTAAGTACCGAAGTTAATTCCTCAGTTCTGGCAGTTGTCCCATGACCCCTTAAGATGCCAGCGTTAGGGGGCACTGGGAGTAGAGCATTGGGGAACCTTCCTTTTCTGTAATTCTAAAGTTATCCCATAATAGAAAACTAAAGAAATCCCAGGAAATGAAAGCTTACCTACTCTCAGCCCCCTTCCCTATTCTCCCACACCCTTTCAGACAGATCAAGTGCAGGGTGATGGTCCTGTTTCCTGAAACTCTTTCCTGGGCCAAGCGGGCTCCGTCTCTTCAGGAACAGTGGTCCTGCAGGCAGTCCTGGTGGGCGAGGCCAGTTTCCTGTAGCTCGGCCTGGCTGCCTCTGAGTTTTGGCTCAAGGGACAAGGCCAGGGTCCTACACTTCTGTCTCCTGGCTGGTGCCCAGCTTGGGGCTTGGTTCTCCTGCCCCACTGTACAGACTGAAGCTCAGGAGGTTCAGCTGGCCATACTGCCGCCCCCACCCTGCAGAATCACTGGGCAGGTGGCTGTGAGTGGCCAGGTGCTAGGATGTACTCTGCGTGTGTCATCCAAGTCTCACCACCAGAGGACAGTCCCAGACCGTGCCATTTTACAGGGAGGGAAACTGAGGCAGTCTCCTGGGTCAGGATAGTGAGCCAGAAGCAAGGTCACATCCTGGGAGGTCAAGAAGGTTCTGGAGGGGCAGTGTGGGCACTTCACACAAGGGCTAGGGGCTGGGGTTCACAGAGATACTAAGGCCAAGAGTCCCTCAGCTGCACCCCCCACCCAGCCCTGGCCCACTCCTGCTGCTCCAGGCCTTCTGGAGACAGGAACCTCTTGCAGTTTACCTGAGGCTTCCCATCCCAGCTGTGCAGCAGGAACCAAGGAGGCCCAGGAAGAGCCCTGAGATGGGAGTCGGACACCCACGTTCTGGGCCCGGGTCAGTGCTTGTGCCTACCATGTGATCTTTCTGTACCCCATTTCTTGTCAGGTGTGTGGCCCATCAAGGGCTCTGAGGCTGCTTGCCCTCCTGTGTGGACAAGAAGTCTGGGGAGAGGAGGGCACCAGGTGGCCCAGCAAACCCCCCAGGCCTCTTGCCTGACACCCAAGGGTTCAGTTTCAGTGATGAGTAAGACATGCTCAGCACCTCTGTGTGTCATGTGTCAGGCCTGAGACTGGGGCACCCAATCCTCACTCTTTCCAAGGGCATAGCCCCAGGCCCGGCTGTGACCCTCTGCTGGGCCTAGAGAAGAAGCCTTTTTTTTCCCCAGGCCTCGGTCCCCACTGGTCCTCCAGAGCCACACGGAATTGGGAGTGTCTGGTCTCCACCTGGTCATTGTGGGCCCCACCCCAGGAGCTCCTGCCCCCCCAGCCCCACCCCTTCCTCCCCAGAGGCAGCACTGCCTGAAGCTTTTGTTTCCCCTCAGGGTGGTTCTTAGCTGAGGTCACAGACTGCAGGGGAGGAGCCAGAAACAAAGATGAAACCCAGGGGCCCCCACCTCCAGCATGGGGCTAAGGTCAGAAACCACCCTCCCAGGCCACAGCCTGCCCCATGTGGCCCTGCCTGCACCCTGGCAGCACCTGTTCTCTGACCCTTCCCATTCCCAGGGCCCTGGCCTCCACAGTCACTTCCCAGGGTTCAAATCCCTGCTGCTCCCAAGGCTACCTGCTGCCCCGATAGAATCTAAGCCCTTCCTCCAGTACTGGAGGTCTTCCACCCCTTCCCCGCCCTGACCACCCCCTCCCTAGCTGTTCCTCTGCCCCCAAAGCTCTTCCCATTGGCGGCCCCCATGCCACCCACAACCTCCCGTGAGCTGCCATTGACTATTAGCTTGTGTCACTGTCTCTGCCCTAGAGCACTGGTTCTTGGGGCACAGCATCCTTGTTCTCCATGGTGAAGCTGGTGCCTCTACCTGGCATAGCTCCCCTACCCCCAGCAGCTGCGTTTGCAGGAAGCCCAAGTAGGGGTGGACTGCAGAGGAAGGAGTTCCCGGCCTGGGAGGAGGAAGGGGAGAGATGAAGCCAGGCTGCCTCCTATCTCCAAAATGACTCTAGGCCTGGCTGGGGAGGGGGTCTTTTTCTGGCTTTCCTCACTGACTCTGCCCCCCCCAGCTGGTGGGTTCCTCCAGCTCTCCTCGGCAGGCAGGGCAGGGAGTGGCTGCCTAGTCCGGAGTGTGCAGGAGACCGGGGTGAGGGAGGCCTGTTTAACCAGCACCTCCTGCTTTGGCCTGCAGTTTGCCCAAGGAGCTCTGCAGAGCGACTAGGTTAGGGCCTCGCCATGTGGAAGACAGAGAAGGGTCAGGGCGGGACTAGGGCAAGAGGCCACTGCTCTGGGTGCTGTATCCCAGAGGCTGCCTCTGGTATGTGCAGAATGGAGGATGCCATGGTCCACCCCAGACTTGGTCAGGGTACCCGAGTGTTAACCGAGTCCTACTTCCCCAGCACACCGAGGGGGTGGGCACAGTAGGGCGGGCTGGCTGGGGACGAGCACTGCATCATGCTCCGCCAGTCCTGGCCTGGGAAGCCCGGACTTGGAAAGCAGGTCTGCCTTTGGGCAACGCGAGCCCCGGGCTGTCTGGCAGGCTGGGCCCAGGGCTGCAGCCCTCACCTGGTGCAGGATGGCAGTCCAGCCCGGCTGCAAGTTGTCTTGCACCCCTCGTAGCACGTGAGCTGCTGCCCCCCTCCCCCACAGTCGGCCTTTCCTGGCCCCAGGGTGCTCCTGGGTTTCATCTCCTGGCTGGTGGCGGAGGATGCACCCCCAGGGCCTCGAGCTTGGAGGCCTGGGGCCGGGAGGTGGCGCCCCTGGCGTGGCCCTGAGGGAGGGCTGAGAATGGCCACCTGGTGTCGTTCCCACCTGGGCCACCAGGTGGGTCCTGCTATCGCAAGGAAGCCACACCTGCCATCTTTCGGGAGCCCTGACTCACCCCGAGTGCCTGGAGGGACCCCTGCCTCTCCTTCTGTCACTGGGTGGAGCCAGCCCACTGAGTCACCACCGCACATTCAACAGAGATGGAGGCAGGGCTGCCCTAGGCCAAGGCTGACTCAGGAAGGTGGGATGGGGTCACCTAGGGCAGTGGATGATGGGGTGGTCCGGTCCTCCACTCAGTGCCAGACCTGCATGACTTACCCCAGATGTCTGGGATCCCTCGTGTGACCAGGGACAGAAGGCCCCCAGCAGGAGGACCCTGGCCCTGGGTGTGGGGCGTTTTTCCGGTGCTCTGCTCCCCGCAGTGGATTGCCCCTGCTAACTGCCAGTTCCCAGAAAAGGAAAGGGAGGGGTGGAGAGGCTGGCCGGAGGCCACCCAGCAGGAAAAGATGGCTCCAGGGCTGGAGGGGTGGCACTCAGCCTCACACATGCATGCTGGGACAGAGGCTTCTCCAGCTCTCCCAGGGCTGGGCCAGGTCAGGCAGGGGCCTCCCCAGAGTTGTGCCCCAAGGGGCCAGGTTGTTTGGGGCTGGACTGGCTCCTGGAAAGTAAGGGGTCAGTGCCGGGCCGGGGGTGTCCAGTCCCACACCAGGGCAGTCCTGCTTCTTCTGGAGCTGTGGGGAGCCACAGGAAGGTCTGGGGTAGGGGCTGCGGTGAGAGAAGACAGACCCAGAAGGTGACCCTGAAGGAGGAGAGCATTTTTTCCTCATGTAATCCAAGATCACATGCTGGGGTCATGTCATGACCAGGGAAGGACAGTGGTTGGCCCAACCCATGTGTCTGCTTGGTCTGTGGGAGGGAATCACCCCAGGGAGTCCCCCGCCTGGCCCCAACCCACAAAAATACCTGGGGCTCTCCTGAAGGTTAACTGCGCCCAGCACCTCGACAGGCTCCATTTCCTCTAGTCCTTAGAAGAAGGCATCCTTTGGGTGAGCCCCTAAGTGAGTGTTGAGTTTGCATATCTGCAGGTACCTTGAGCTCGCCCCCCTGGAACTGGCAGTTTGGTGAGGAATGGAATTTCAAGTTGAGAACTGGCCTTGGATTTTGAAGGCTTAGCCCTCCTGTCTCTTGCCGGCTCTGCTGCTGCTGAGAAGCAAATGTCTCGATTCCTGAGCCAAAGTCGAGGTTGTTTTATGTTTCTCTAAGAGCTTTCAGGCCTTTTCTTGCTCATCTAAAATGGCTTAATGTCCCTGGTGATGCTTTTGCATTCATTATCTTGGCCACTTCCTGAGCCCTGTTTTTGGTAATTTTCTTGTATTATTTCTTTAGCAATTTCTTTTTCTTCTCTTTTCTGTTTGCCTGTTTTGGGATTTCTGTCAACTGGGTATTATACCTTCTAGATTCTATAATAATTAGTTTTTTCTTCTCTTTTTTTAAACTTTCTGGGATATTTCCTTGGCTTCTAACCCTTGAATGGAATTTTTCATTTTATTTATTATAGATTTTTAACCTTTTGTTTTTGAGAAAAAAAAAAGTTTTTGAGACAGTGTCTTACTTTCACCCAGGCTGGAGTACCTTGGGGCCATCTCAGCTCACTGTAGCTTCTACCTCCCAGGCTCTTCCCACCTCAGCCCTCTTCACCCCCCAGCAGCCAGGACTACAGATGCATGCCACCACACCTGGCTAATGTTTGTAGTAGAAATAGGGTTTCACCATGTTGCCCAATCTGGTCTTGAACTCCTGAGCTCAAGCAATCCACCCGCCTGGACTCCCAACGTGCTGATATTACAAATGTGAGCCACCACACCCAGCCTTTGTTTTGAAATTTCAAACTTGCCTAGTTATAAACATCTTTTTTTTTTTTTTGAGAGACAGAATCTTGCTCTGTCACCGGGCTGGAGTACAGTGGCGCAATCTCGCTTCACCGCAACCTCCACTTCCTGACTTCAAGTGATTCTCCTGCCTCAGCCTCCTGAGTAGCTGGGACTACAGGCACATGCCACCAAGCCTGGCTAAATTTTGTATTTTTAGTAGAGATGGAGTTTCGCCATGTTGGCCAGGCTGATCTCGAACTCCTGACCTCAGGTAATCCGCATGCCTTGGCCTCCCAAAGTGCATGGTGCGTGCCACCACACCCAGCTAATTTTTGCATTTGTGGTAGAGATGGGGTTTCACCATGTTGGCCAGGATGGTCTTGATCTCTTGACCTTGTGATCTGCCTGCCTCGGCCTCCCAAAGTGCTGGGATTACAGGCTGAGCCACGCGCCCGGCCGTTTTATACATCTTGCATTTGCTTATCATTCTCCTCTCTGTGTCTGAGCCATTTGGAAGCAGGTTTTGGGATGATGCCCTTACTGTTTTTGTGTGTGTTTCCTAAGAGCAAGGATGTTGTTTTCTATAACCAGGCTCCAATGATCTAAATCAGACAACATCAGCATCACAGTGTGTATCCAACTGGCAGTCAGTGATGGCATGGACCATCCAGCTTCAATAATGCTGCTTGTCCCAGTGGTGTCCTCCATGGCCTTTTTTCCTCATCTAATCCAAGATTATGTATTACATTTTGTTGTCCTAGACTATCTTTTTTTTTTTTTTTTTTAAATGAGAGTCTTGCTCTGTCATCCAGACTGGCGTGCAGTGGCGTGATCTCGGCTCACCACAACCTCCATCTCCCAGGTTCAAGCAATTCTACATCAGCCTGCCAAGTAGCTGGAATTACAGGCACCTGCCACCACACCCGGCTAGTTTTTGCATTTTTAGTAGTAACAGGTTTCACCATGTTAGCCAGGCTGGTCTCGAACTCCCGACGTCAGGTGATCTGCCTGCCTCAGCCTCCCATGGTGCTGGGATTATAGGCTTGAGCCAACACTCCTGTCCAAACTATCATATTTTTAATTCCCAAGGCCTCTGTTGTTTTCTTCACCATTTCATTAATTATAGGCAATGAGACTTTTTTTTTTTTTTTTGAGACAGAGTCTTACTCTGTCACCAGGTACCAGGCTGGAGTACAGTGGCGCAATCTCAGCTCACTGCATCCTCCACCTCCCAGGTTCAAGCAATCCTCCTGCCTTGGCTCCCGAGTAGCTGGGACTACAGGCATGAACCACCCACACCCAGCTAATTTTTTGTATTTTGGTAGAGATAGGGTTTCACCCTGCTGGTCTCGATCTCTTGACCTCATGAACCAACCACCTCAACCTCCCAAAGTGCTGGGATTACAGGCGTGAGCCACCTCACCCAGCCCGAGACTTTTTTAGAAAGCAGACTGGCATGGAGTGGCATTGTCCCCAGGGAGCTGGGTGACCCATGATGGTGACTGTGTGCAGAGACCTGCTCACTACAGAATGGTAAATGGTCCATTTCTGTTTTGTCCCAGAAGTGAGAAATAGAGTAAATTCCTTTCCTTTCCCCAGCATGGTTCCTGGCACACAGTAGGTACTCTCTGGGCACCTGTGACGGCCTGTTGTTATGTGACTAACCTTGTAGCTACCGGCGTGTGGTGTTACGTGTAGGCAGGGCATGTGCACACCTGTGTGTGTGTAGATGCAGGTGGATGGGCTGTGCAGAGGCTACCACCTGCAGAGCTGAGGGCTTTCCATGCCAGGTGTCCATGTCCGTGGTGCTCAGGGGTGGGAGGCTCACCCCAGTGGTTGTGGGGCATCTGGGCTGGTTGAGACACCTTTGATTCTGGCCTCAGGGTCCCTTTGGGGACTTTTGTCCTTGGTGGGGCGCAGAGTTTTCTGGCAAGGCCTAGAGCCCTCCCCAAGGGGCTCTTCCTCCCCTCCCCTCCAGGCACAGCCCCTGACCAGCACCTTATGATCTCACAGAGAGCAAAAGCCAGGAGACTTTGTGGGCTTTCCACCCTGATGGTCCCAAGGGGAGGCCCGGAGCAGCCAGCAATGAACAAACGGCAGTTGAGGAAGTGGCCTGCTCGGAGGGGCTGGGAGAGGAGAGGGTCCCTCTGAGCAGGTAGGAGACCACGCTGGAGAGCCCCTCCCCAAGCTCTTCATTCAACTCTGCCCTGCCCCCTGTCTGGCCAGTGGAGCCTGTCACCCTAAACCTGGCCTCAGTAAACCAACCCAGGTCGGAGAAAGAGTAGTGCAGCCCCCTCGACAGTGTAAGCGGAACTGCGGCAAGGCCGATAGCTCAGCCATGAAAAAATGATGAGGCTGCTGGGCTGTGGGCCTGGGCTCAGGAGTGGCATCGGGGGCTGGGCCCTGGGAGCAGCCGTGGGGCCAGGAGTCAGGACATCAAGGCCCAGTGTGCCCAGCAGGGGGGCCTCACCTGGATGCAGGACCAGGGGTCAGCAGAGCCTGGGCAGGGGCCTAGCATGGCGATGAGGGGGAGGGTGGAGCACCTGGGAACCACTGGGGACAGAGATGCCTACAGGAGTGGCAGCAGTCAGGGCCTGGCACCAAGATGGGGGCTCCTTCGATGCCTGTGGGGACTAGTGGTCCTCAGCCCCAGGGCTCTGTTTCCAGGGCTCCAGGCCAGCAGGGTGGGGAGCCACCTCTCCCCTAGCTACACACATGCAGGCCTGTGCCAGCTCACACCACCAGGGCACCCAACCGGGAGCACGTGCTGGTCACCATGGCAGTAGACAGTGTGCCAGCAGGAGCCCAGGCTGGGCTGTAGCATCTGGGATCAGTGGTCTAGGCATGGGGGACTGGGGTCCTTCCCCTTGTAGCACCAGAGGGGCTAACTGAGTGAGGGGAAGGGGGGCCCTTCAACACCAGGGCAGCCCATCCCCCAGCACCCCAGACAGCGAATGGTTCCCTGAGAGTTCTCAGGAAAGGCTGGGTGGGGGGATGGGGGGCACCAGGGGCCTGTGGGGGCACACGGCTTCCTGGTCCCACCACAGCTCTCTCTCTAGCTGGCCCAGCACTGAGAGGGATGGAGGCTGAGGCTCAGGCCTCAGGGGAGGCCTCCAGTGATGCTGATGGCTGAGGCATTCCTTGCCCTCTGGGCCCAGCTGGAGCCAGGGGGTCTGCCACAGCTGGCTGTTCCCTGGAGCAGGTGGCTGGGGGTACTGCTACCTCAAACACCCTCTCAAGTGCCCACCAGGACAAGGCATCCCTCCTAGGTGCAGACCTCAGCCTGCGCTTCAGGAACACACGGGGCAGACACCTCCACCCACCGGGTTCAGAGGAGAGCCAGGGTGGGGTGTGGAGCTCTCAGAGTGGCAGTGGCTTTGAATGTCCCCAGTACAGCACAGGTCAGGATGGCAGGCGAGTAGTACCCCATATGAGTGGGTGCGTGGCATCTCCAGAGGTGTGGCCACAGGGCTTTGTGGAAGTCGATGGGAAGGGCTCCCCGTTGTCTGAGAACACTGCGGGGGTAGGGGTGGGGAGGGGATAGAGCACCCCAGCCCACCACAGGCCCTTGTGAGTTGTATATTTCTGCAGGAAATGCGTAGGACCCTGGAAACAGCCTCTCTTGGGCAGTGTACAACCTGGGCTCTTGGCTGGGATCCAGGATGGCATTCCAGGGTCCAAGGCTGGCCCAGCAGGTGACCCTGTTGGCAACCTTTGCCCACCTGGTCCTTGTGGCCCTACACACACACACACATACACGTGCACGACGCTGTGCCCGTCGGCAGAGGCTCAGCCAGCCCATCACACCAGAGATTCGGGCCCCTGTGCTGTGGTCCCAGCTACTCAGGAGGCCAAAGTGGGAGGATCACCTGAGCCCAGGAGGCTGGGGCTGCCATTGGCCACGACAGCACCACTACACTCCGGCCTGGGTCACAAAGCAAGACCCTGTCTCTAAAATAAATTTAAAAAGAACCAGATGGCTGGGCATGGTGACTCACAGCTGTAATCTCAGCACTTTGGGAGGCCGAGGTGGGTGGAACGCCTTAGGTCAGGAGTTCAAGACCAGCCTGGCCAACATGGTGAAACCCCTCTCTACTGAAAAAACAAAAATTAGCCAGGTGTGGTGGTGGGTGCCTGTAATCCCTGCTACTCTGGAAGCTGAGGCAGAAGAATCACTTGAACCTGGAAGGCGCAGGTTGCAGTGAGCCAAGATTGTGCCGCTGCACTCCAGCTGGGCGACAGAGTGAGACTCCATCTCAATAATAAAGAACTAGAGTCAACAACCTCAGACACTTATTAAGGACCTGCTCTGTGCCAGAAACCTTGCTGGGGATCCAGAGGAAACATGATCCCAGCAGGTGGCTGGGCAGGAGCCTGGGGTCCTGAGGTGGAGGTGGAAGGGACTGGGAGCCCTGCAAACCCTCCCTGCAAGGAAGCGTGGCCCAGGTGCCCACCCTTCAGTTGCCCTCCCCTGGGGCCCGAGAGTCCCCCGTAGCTCACACACCTGGGTCAGTGCCAGGCAGCCCTGCCCAGCGCGGAGCTGTAGGCCCCAGAAGTGATGAGCCATCATCACTTCTGGCTCTGCCACTGAGAGGCTGTCCAGAGCCAGGCCCACTTAGTGCCTGGCGGCCAGGCTTGCTCCTGCTAGGCACCTGATGCCTAAGCACCCTGCCAGCCCAGGCAGCGCTAATGAGGCTTCATGCCAATCAGAGGGACAGGCCACCCCGGGTTCCTTCACAGCCTGGCTGGGTGTTGGAGCGTGGAGGTGTAGCCAGTGTCTGCCTGGGGTAGGGGGACTATGGGCACAGCTACCCCTCTGGCTTCCCCCACCACTCAGACCAACTGAGCTGTGCCCTCAAAATCCAACAGAAGACTGGGCACTGTGGCTACTCCTGTAATCCCAGCACTTTGAGAAGCCAAGGCGGGCAGATCACTGGAGCTCAGGAGTTCGAGACCAGCCTGGGCAACATGGCAAAACCCCTTCTCTGCTAAAAATGCAAACATGAGCTGGGTGTGGTGGCAAGTGCCTGTAGTCTCAGCTATTTGGGAGGGTGAGGCAGGAGGACTGCTTGAGCTCGGGAGGCAAAGGTTGCAGTGAGCCAAGATTGTGCCACTGGACTCCAGCCTGGGCGACAGAGTGAGACCCTGTTCCAAAAAAAAAAGATCCAAGGGGAAATTGAGGTTCAGGCAGCACCCCTGACTTGTGCCCCTAAACCAGAGACTCTTCCCTGGCTTGGGTGCTAAGCCTGGGTCCTCACCCCTGGAAACTGTGGCAAGTGTGTGTGGGCATCATCGTCTCTGGAGAGGAGGCACAGCTCCAGATTGCGTCTTCCTAGGATGGGGCCTGGCTGCGCACACAGTAGGTGCCTCATAAGCACATGTGAATCACAGAGGTGGGTGAGGCCAGCACACAGGGAGAGGTGAGACCAGCCCCCAGAGTGGCGGCGTGCACAGTGCTATGGCGGGCATTTGCATGTGGGAATCTCTCCGCCTCCACCCTGGCCCCTGAGCATGGGGACTGGGGACAGTGTCTGCAGGTGCCTGGCACGGTTGCTGCCCAGGGCTTAGAGGACAGAGGAAGAACCCGAGTCTGTGCACACTCCACCACCATGGTCTCCAGGGGCCCAGGCAAGGCCCCTTGCTTTTGGCTAGTCCCCTGCCATATGGGGACCCTATGATGGCCACTCAGGAGATGGGGGGCCAGGAGGACAGGGGGGTGACTCCAGGCCAAGACTGTGGCCCCTGTTCCCAGTCCCCAGGGAGACCAGAGGGTCACCTGCTGTTAGGAGGAAGAGGACACCGGGCTGGCTCTGGCCCAGGGTGGGCAGCTCTGGTTTCACTCCTTGGCTCCGAACCCCTGAGGCAGGTGCGGGAGCCGGTCAGGCACAGTGAGCAGGGCCCAGTGCCCCTCAGGCTCTGGGGAAGGGTTGCAGCCAGGCAGCCCAGGGTGGGAGGTGCTGGGGACAGGTGTGACCCCTTCCAGTCTCTCCCAGCCTGCTGGCCTCATCTTCTCCCAGATTCCAAGGGCCACTGCTGGGAGCATGGTGTGGACATCGTCCCATCAGCCTCCCAGATCCACACCAGTAAAAACCCCGAAGTGAAGTGAGGTGGCTTCATTCCTGCTCACGGCAGAGGAAGGGGCAGCCTCAGGGCCCAGTGCCCTGCTCAGAGCACATGGGAGTGCTGCCCGCTTCTGCAGGGCTGCACCGGCACTGTGCTCCACCCTCTGGTGTGGGCAGTGGTCCCGTGGGCGTCATGCTGTGGCCAGGACAGCCCGAGGCCTCTGACCCTGCCCACTTCTGCAGGGCTGCACAGGCACTCTGTTCCACCCTCAGGTGTGGGCAGTGGTCCCGTGGGCGTCACGCAGGGGCCTGAGCAGCATGGCAAGAGGCCGGCCTGAGGTGGAGGCGACCTGGGCTGCAGGTTGTGGGTGGGGTCCTTGCTCTGCTCCTGGCAGCAGGAATCAGAGAAATAGTAACTGGATCCAGCAGAGGGCCTGGTGGCCACTGAGGCTGCAGGCAGAGATCGGGTTGCGGCAGTGCTGGGTGGCTTCTGTATAGGGAAGGGCCGGGCTCGGCTGGGAGCCCACACGGGGGGGTCGGAGGAGGTGGGCAGGAACCAGAGAGGCCAAGAGGTGCAGGGCCATGAGGAGGGGCACTGGGCCCACGCTGTGAGGAAAGGGGGTCCACCCTGCTCCCCAGCCCTGCAGGCCCTCAGGCTCTGGCGTCTGCAATCCAGGAGTGGCTGAAATCCAAGCCGGGGGTAATGAAAGGCGCCACTCCTAAGCCGCACATCTCTGATCCGCCCTCCCCGCCTGCCCTCTGCTGCTCACTGGACCTCTAAGAGCTGCGAGGCTGCTGCAGCCGCGGGTCAGAGGCGGGTCAGAGCAGGCAACAGGTCCATGACGCCCACTGGGTCTGGGGGCCACGAGCCAGCTGAGCAGAGCCAGGCTTCTGGGGGACTGTGGGGGCCGTGAGCACTTAAAGGGAGCGTCCCAGGCCCCTCCAGGGACCGGCCAGCCTGAAGATGCCGACCAATGGTCTGCACCAGGTGCTGAAGATTCAGTTCGGCCTCCTCAATGACACCGACCGCTACTTGACAGCCGAGAGCTTTGGCTTCAAGGTCAATGCGTCAGCGCCCAGCCTCAAGAGGAAGCAGACCTGGGTGCTGGAGCCCGACCCCGGGCAGGGCACCGCTGTGCTGCTCCGCAGCAGCCACCTGGGCCGCTACCTGTCGGCCGAAGAGGACGGGCGTGTGGCCTGCGAGGCAGAGCGGCCGGGCCGTGACTGCCGCTTCCTGGTCCTGCCACAGCCGGACGGGCGCTGGGTGCTGCAGTCAGAGCCGCACGGCCGCTTTTTCGGGGGCACTGAGGACCGGCTGTCCTGCTTCGCCACAGCCATCTCCCCGGCGGAGCTGTGGACCGTGCATCTGGCCATCCACCCGCAGGCCCACCTGCTGAGCGTGAGCCGGAGGCGCTACGTGCACCTGTGCCTGCAGGAGGACGAGATGGCAGCGGACGGCGACGTGCCCTGGGGTGTGGACGCCCTCCTCACCCTCATCTTCCAGAGCCGGCAATACTGCCTCAAGACCTGTGACAGCCGCTACCTGCGCAGTGACGGCTGCCTAGTCTGGGAGCCTGAGTCCCGGGCCTGCTACACACTGGAGTTCAAGGCAGGCAAGCTGGCCTTCAAGGACTGTGACGGCCGCTACCTGGCACCCGTGGGGCCTGCTGGCACCCTCAAGGCCGGCCGGAACACGCGGCCGGGCAAGGATGAGCTCTTTGACCTGGAGGAGAGTCACCCACAGGTAGTGCTGGTGGCTGCCAACCACCGCTACGTCTCTGTGCGCCAAGGTAAGGGGGCGCAGATGGCGGCCTCCTGAGGGCTGCTTGGACCCCTTGCTTCAGGGAGGAGTCTGTTGGGGGTCTCTCGGGGAGTGGCATCCTGTCTATGTGTGTTCTCATGTCTGTTCTGAGCTGGGGGTCAGATGGGACATGTGTGGCCCTCACAGTGCAGGTAGGTGGGCCTTGGTCCATGCCCAGGGGCCCCCACTGAGGGGTGGTGGCTTCAGGGTCAGAGGCAAGGGGTCCCGGCCTTTCTCAGGACAGCTGGAGAATGTCTCAGCCAAGCCCTGGGCAGCTGCACAGTCTGAGATTGGAGAGGTGTGGGTCTGGTGGGGCAGTGCCCAGCAGGGGCAGGGGGCTCACAGCCTGGCCTGGTACCACGAGAGGCATGTGGGCAGGAGGCTGTGGGAGCCCCGTTTGTCCCATTCTCTTCCTCCATCCCACATTCTGGACTTTAAATGAAATTGGGAGGGGCTGGGGCAGGGCAGGGAGCCAGTGGTAGGGAGGGGACAGCACCACCACGTGCCCAACTAGTGGAGCCTTATGTAGCCCCCAGGAGTAGGGGGCTTCAGGTCAGCTCCAGTGCTAGAGGACACTGGGGCATACAGCCTCACCCTTGTTAGGGAGGAGCCTCCCTGCTCAGTGGGCATGGCCTGGCTCTCCCCATTTCTCAGGTCACCAGTACCCTCCCTGCGTGACTCCCTCTGCCACCTGTGGTGTGAACCCCAGCAGTTCCTCCTTCCACACAAGCAAGCTGAACTCTGGGGGAAGACCCTGGACCAGGCAGTTGCTAACCCCTGGGTACACCACTGGGGCTCCATGTGCCCCAGAGTGGCAGGCCACACCCCAGGGGCTCTGAGCTGGTCTGAAGAGGCGAGGTGGGGAGAGCTGGGTGCATGGAGCTCCTTCTCCTGACTTGGGCCTCTCCAGACCAGCACCAGCTGGGCAAGGAGAGCTCCCCATCTCCCAGAAGCTCCCAGGTGCCCACCAAGCCCCCGCCCTGATGGAAATCTAGGCCCCCTGGACACACTGATACTCTGGGGCCAGATGGCAGAGGCTCCACCCTGAGCACTGAGAACAGAACCTGGCTGTGGCTACAGGGGCCCTGCCACTGCAGTCAGTGTCCTCGGGTCTGTCCCAGTGGTGATATGGTCCCAGGAGTGGGGGTTCAACTGTGGATGCACAGCCATGGCCTTCCTTCCCATCACAGCCCACAGTCCAGCTGCAATGCCTCCTGGCCCGGGCCTGGGTGCATGGCAATCCTTAGGTACTTAAAGGGGGTAAGTGGGACAGTGGCAGTGAGAATTCTTCCTCTATGAGAGCCAAAGACATTGGACTTTTAAGTATTCGTATGGTATTCGTATTGGACAGCTTGTGATGAAGCCTGAACGGTGGGCATGGCAGTGGCCGTGGCATTGGTGGCAGTGATATGTGACATGGACGATGGTGGGAGGTGGAGGTGAGGGCGTGGGGACAATGTGGTGGCATTGGTGGCAGTGATGTGTGATGTGGATGGTGGGGTGGAGTTGGACGTGAGGGCGTGGTGATAGTATGTAGCAGTGGTGGCAGTGATGTGTGACATGGACGGTGGTGGGAGGTGGATGTGAGGGTGTGGTGACAGTATGTGGCAGTGGTGGCAGTGATGTGTGACGTGGACAGTGGTGGGAGGTGGAGGTGAGGGCATGGGGACAGTGTGGTGGCAGTGGCAATGACGATGGTGGTGGTGATGGAGGGTTGGGGGCTGTATGAACCATTCTTCAGTCTCTTAATCTTCAACCACCCTGCATTTGTCTCCATCGCCCCTTTGAGGGGAGAATCCCCTACTAAAGACCGGCTCCCATCTCCCACTTTAGAAGCAGGAAATGGCAGCCAGTTGCCTCCCTCCCTGCCTTGCAACAGGGCTGAGGGCCATGACCTGGCCACCAGACGTTTCAGCCCCTCACTTGGCAGCTGGTGTTGTGAGAGCGGGGTGTGGCATCTCAGTCCTGGGGCTGGAATTCCCAGCTTCAAGGCAGCTGCAGTGTGGGTGCTGCCACAGCATTGCTACTGCCCAGCGGGCCTTCATCGAGGCATCTCCCTGGCTGGGTGGCCCCTAAGCCTCTTCCCCTGAGGGCTGTGAGCACCCAGCTTTCGTGGTGTCTCCATCAGCTGGAGCCTGCTCATTTCTGCTGACAGACAGCACGGCAGGCAGTGTCTGATGCTGCCGGTAACAGAAAACTGGCCTCAGACTGGCTCAGGCTGTGACAACGATCACCTCCTAAAATGGGAGTGCAGAGGCCCTGGCCTTGGTGGGCTCCCAGGTGGCCACCAGCGCCAGCTCAGGGCTTCCTCGGAGTCCTCTGTTCTTACCTTGTCGCCAAACCACCCTCCAGGGTCAGCTCTGACCTCATCCTAACACCCTCATGGTCATAATGTGGCTGCTGGTATTCCAGGCCTCACATCCAGGCAGGACAAAATCCAGAGGACAAAGAGGCACTGGCTCTGCTTGTGTCTTCTCAGGAGTAGGAAACTTCTCCCCTAAATCCTAGCGACATTGCTTCACACTCACTGTCCAGAACTGAGGGTCCCCCAGCTGCTCAACTAGCCTCTCTGGAGGAGCCTAAAACCAGCATTGCCTAGACCAACGCGGACTCCAGCTCTCTCCTACTTTGAGGCCGTGTCCCTGGATGCAGATGGCTGAGTGAGGCAGCCCTGGACAGCATCCTGTCTGAAGGAGGTGTGGGGCAACCCTGGGGAACCAAAGTGCTGGCCGAGGAGGCCCGGTGGCAGCGGGAGCCCTACGATGCTGTGGCTTCGCACCTGCTTTTCCTTCAGTGCCCACAGGGACGGCATTGCCACGCCCCTCATCGGCGCCTCCTCCTGAGGGCTCCTGCTGCCCTGGGCACCGTGTCCGTGTTCCCCTCCACTGGACCTAGGCAGGCTCCAGGGATGTGGCAGCTGCTCTTAGCTCAGTATTTGCCAGGATCTAGAGCTGGTGGTAGTGGGGATGCGAGCACGAATGCTGGGCCACGATTCAGCGGACATGCTGGCTGCTCCTCTGCATCTGATCAGTGATGGAGACCCCAGCCTGGGGTGTGAGGGGCAGCCTTGGAGCTGGCAGAAGGCAATAGGTCCTAGCCTCTCTAGGTTAGCCACAGTCTGGCGCCCTCCTCCCCTCAGGACAGCGTGGGGTGGGATCTGGCCCCATCTTCAGGCCCCATGGGGCTCTGCCCATCATTCCCTCCTGGTCCCCCAGCTGGACAGGCCACCAGAGTCCCTGGGCCTCTTGGGGGGGCTCTGCAATCTGCCACACCACTCCCAGGGCTGGTTGCCATGGAAACAGGGAAGTGGTTTGTGGGAGGAGCCAGGGACTCAGTTCACAGAAGATGCTGGAGAGGCTCTGGTGCCTGCTGTCCCCACGCTGGGCATGGGTGCCCCTCCATCCCCTCACAGGAACCCCAGATGGAGGCAGGGGCAGTCTTATCCTCCCCCACAGCTCCTGGGATACCAAGCATAGGTGGTTGGGGAAGCTGCAGAAGTAACAGGGACCAGCCCCTGCCTGGTGCCCATGGATGCCCCATTCCCATCCCCATCCTCACCATCCCCATTATTAGGTCCTGGCTGTGCCCACCCAGCAGCTTAGGGTGAGTTATAAATAGAGGCTGGTGTAAGCCTTGGCTCAAGAGAGCAAGGCAAGCAGATTACCAGCTGATTACTGATTAGCAGAGAGTGGGGGCTGTGCCAAGTAGAAGAGCCTGACTCCTAGGGGTGTGGAGGGAGGTCATGACTCCCTGGGGAACAGTGTGCAGGGTCCACAGATGGAACATATGGCCCCAGGGCAGGGTTCCCAGGCTCTCTGAGAGGTGCCTTCCAAATCTCAAATCAAGCGGGTTCTAGATGAGATCCCCTTCTGGCTTCAAGGGTGCCCCAAAAAGCATGCCTCCCTGTCCCCTGCTCCCTACTCAGGAGAGGCGTGAGGGGCTTCCCCATCTCCTCCCTCCAGGGGTCAACGTCTCAGCCAATCAGGATGAAGAACTAGACCATGAGACCTTCCTGATGCAAATTGACCAGGAGACAAAGAAGTGCACCTTCTATTCCAGCACTGGGGGTTACTGGACCCTGGTCACCCATGGGGGCATTGAGGCCACAGCCACAGAAGTGTGAGTGCACGCACCCCTTCCTCCTCCACCATCCCCATTACCACTATCACCACCCCCAACACCTGGATTAGCACCATTCCCATCATTCCCATCCCCACCATCCCCATCCCCATCCCCATCACCACCATCCCCATCACCACCCCTATCATCATCCATCCCCATCCCCATCCCTATCTTCATCCCCATCCCCATCACTACCATCCCCATCCCCATCGCCATCACCACCCCTATCACCATCATCCCCATCCCCATCCCCACCACCACCACCCCCATCGCCACCATCCCCATCACCATCTTCATCACCATCTCCATCACCACCATCCCCACTACCATCCCCATCGTCCCCATCACCATCTTCATCACTATCCCCATTGCCATCCCCATCACTACCATCCCCATCACCATCCCTATCACCATCCCCATCACTACCATCCCCATCACCATCCCTATCCACCATCCCCATCTTCATCACCATCCCCATCGCCATCCCCATCCCCACTACAATCCCCATCCCCACCATCTTCATCACCATCCCCATCACCATTCCCATCACCATCCCCATCACCATTAACATCACCCTTCCCATCGCCATCCCCATGCCCATCACCACCAACCCCATCAGCATCCTTATCACTACCATCCCCATTACCACCATCCCCATCCCCACCAACCCCATCCCCATCACCATCCCCATCCCCATCCCCATCCCCATCCCCATCCCCATAACTTCCACCACCATCACTGCCTCGGAGAGGACTGCCATAGCAGCTCAGTCAGGGAGGAAAGGCCACTGCGGGTGGTAGCTCCTGATGGTGGTAGGTGTGTCAGTGGAGGGCAGGCTCCTGTCCCAGTCCTTGGAACCTGAGGAGGATGGGGAAGTGAGACCCTGCACCCCCATCTCCTGCTTCCCTGAGACCTTTCGCTGCTCCCTCCAGTTCCACTGATACCATGTTTGAGCTGGAGTGGCGCGGCCGGCGAGTGGCACTCAAAGCCAGCAATGGGCGCTACGTGTGCATGAAGAAGAATGGGCAGCTGGCGGCTATCAGCGACTTTGTGGGTGAGCACTCTGCCTGCCAGGGAGTGGGGCAGGGGCTGTCTCCACCCAGGGACAGCACTTGCCCAGAAACCCCACCTCCACCAAGAGCTGGACCCTCCCCAGCCCACCGAACAGCTGCTGCCATGGCAGTCACACTTGCTGGTCCACATAATCCATCTTGGCAAGGGAAACAGTTAGGTCTGAGGGCCCTTATGGGAATCTCCTTATCTCCAATGCACATTTGGGAACCCCCTAGGCACCTTGCCAAGGCCACACATGAGGCAGTGCCAGATCTGGGCCCCCAAATCTGGGGGTGGTGCTTCCCAGGGGCCCACCTCGCCCGGCCTGGACAGGGAAGGTGACGGGAGGGACGGCGCAGCAGACGCTCTCCCCGCCAGGCAAGGACGAGGAGTTCATCCTTAAGCTCATCAACCGGCCCATCCTGGTGCTGCGCGGCCTGGACGGCTTCGTCTGCCACCGCCGCGGCTCCAACCAGCTGGACACCAACCGCTCGGTCTACGACGTCTTCCACCTGAGCTTCAGCGATGGCGCGTACCAGATCCGAGGTGCGCGGCGGGCCGGGTGGGCGCGAGGAATGGGTTGCGACGGGCAGGTGGACGCCCCGCCGACGCTGTCCCCTCCTACAGGCCGCGGCGGCGGGTTCTGGTACACCGGCAGCCATGGCAGCGTGTGCAGCGACGGCGAACGCCCCGAGGATTTCCTCTTCGAGTTCCGCGAGCGCGGCCGCCTGGCCATCCGTGCCCGGAGCGGCAAGTACCTGCGCGGTGGCGCCTCGGGCCTGCTGCGCGCCGACGCCGACGCCCCGGTGGGGCCTGCGCTCTGGGAGTACTGAGGTCGCGCCCGGGTGTGCCTGTCGCGCATTAAACTGAGTCTGTCCCGCAGCTGCGCGTGGGCTCCGGGGCGCCGCTTGGGGGGCCTGCAGCTGGAGGTGGAGGAGGCCCGCCGTTCTCCCCATAGAGCGCCCAGAACAAGGACTTTGGCCCAGGAGGTGGCCTTGTGGATGGGTGGGGTGACCCAAGCCGGTGGACGTGGGGAAGTCTTGAGGACCTGGGGAACATGGAGGCTGAGGGTGGGTGGGGGACAGCCTGGGCGGGGTGAAGCCACCAACACAGATCACAGATGATCTTACGACACCACGCCTCCCCAACCTAGGCCCTCAACCCTCCCTAGCCCCTGGCAGCTCCGTTCAGTGCTTCCTTCCTTTCTGGCACACTGCTCAAGGCCACGTGAGTGGCAGAAGGCGGGGGAGAGCCAATCCTGGGGAGGTGGCACCCACAGCAGGAGGAGGAACCGGCTGGGATGCCCCTCCCCTAAGCCCACCAGCCTTAGGGACAAAGAAGGGCAGGGTTTTGTGGGAAGGGGCTGGAACTGTCCCAACCACGTGGGCAAGGCAGTCCGAGTTAACCCTTGGAGGACCAGGCGCCACTTGGTCCAAGCTGGCAGGGAGGAGCAGTAGCCCTAGAGCTAGGGCTGTTCCCTGTGTGGTGCCTGCAGTGTCCCCTGGTGGCAGCCAAGGCTGGGGCAGGAGAGCTGGGGGCAGCAGGTGGAACCACAGTGACTGGCACTCAGCACCTCCAGGCTCCCCCCTCAGCAGAACCTTGGAGAGGGTCTCCCAGCACCACCCTGCCTGACTTGGCCTACCACTGCAGGAACCCCACTTCCATTCACATCCACAGCCTGGAGCGAGGCTGCAGGCAGAGGCTAGCCTGTGGAGGGTGGGGTAGGAGGTCAAAGAAACCCTTTCGAACAGGGAATAATGGCTGGGCCTGGAAGGGTGGGCCCCCTGCTGCTGCTGAGGGAGGTGGTGCTCTATGCAGACAGCTGCCACGTGGTGTCCAGCAGGTGCCCCTGAGAGGAGGAGGAACAGCTGCTCCCACCCCACGTGTGAGCTGGGCTGAGGGTCATGCAAGGCTACAGTGTCAAGCCAGGATCTGAGCCAGAGCAGGTGGAGAAAGCTGGAAAGGTTGAGAGGCCACCCCTGGCACCCAGGAAGGGCCTCACATAGGGAAAGCTCGGTGACAAGGGCCCAGGTGTGCACTGAGCAGGTGAGGGCGGGGAGGCTCAAGATGGGCAGCAGGGCCGGCCACAGCATGGTCCACAGGCTCCCTGAGAAGTTGACTGTGGACCTGCCACCTGCCTCTGAGGCCAAGCACTCCCTGAATGCCCAGTGTTGACAGCAGGTTCCCTGGAGGTGGCTGTGAATTGGAGGCATTTCAGAGACCTGTACACTCCGGCAGCTGCCCACTGTGGTCCCCTTTCCTGCCTCTGTACATTTCCTTTTTGTTGTTCCACGTGACCTGTCCTCTTGGCCCCTCAGGGTCTGTGCTACAGCTTTTTTGGGGCGCCCACACAGCAGGATGTATTTTTAAACATACCAGTGCTGATGCCTCTTCAAGGGTGACCCTGGAGCATGCCCTGACAGAGGGGTTCAGGACAGCTGGGGATGCTGTCTCAGACCTGATGGCTAGCACTGCCTTAGGTCAGGAGCCTGCAGTGCCAAGGACAGCAACCTGCACCCCAGTGTGGCTCATCCTGGTGTCTGCTCTTTCATGAGCCACAGTGGTGCCCCCACACCCCCTGCACAGCTGAGGCTGACAGGGGTGGACAGTGCCACTCTGGACAGGCGGCAGCCCCGTGGAAGGCCCCTCAGGCTCCCAGCCTAAGACCTGCTGGCATCCGGCTGGGGGTGGGGAGGTGAATCCTGCAGGGGACCCAGATCTGTCAACTCTGGGATCCCTGTGGCCTGTGAAGGCAAGTGAAAGGTTGGCACAGTCCTGAACAGATTCCATCTGCCCTGTGGACAGGACACAGGCCCTGCACAGTCCTCTTCCCACTCATCCAGGGCCTGTTAAGGAGAACCCACGGGCTTCTCTAGCCCCCTCACTCTCCCTGATGCTCAGAATAAGACATGGGCACCAGCACTGGACAAAGGTCAGAGCCAGAGGCACCTGACCGGGGTGGCAGAGGATGGCCCTGGAGCACGGTGGGATGCTAAGAGGGGCAGGCCCTCCTTAGGGGTGGCTCACTCGGCCCCAGCTCTCCCCAGGAGCACAGGCTGCAGCAGGGCCGCGTTAGGAGTGTCACCAGCTGAGCCTGCTTCCTGGATGTCAGCCCTGAGGGCGACAAACCCTGACTGGCAGTACCTCATAGTCCCCTCCCACTCCTTGTAGAGGAAGGCAGGAGCATCCAGGCAGTGCCCCAGGCCTCCTTGAAGGTGACTGGGTCACAGAGAATGCTTCTTCCCTGGAGGCCACCCCAGTGCTGGGGGCTCCAAGCAGTGCAGTATCTCTGAAGGGACACCAGAGAGAGGGTGGGAAGGGGTTAAAAAAAACAGCAGAGACCTGAAGTTTCACAGACAGGGTCATTTGTCACAGCAGAGAAGCGCCTCACGGCTCCCACCCACACTCATCAGACAGTGCCTGTGGTGGGAACGGCGCGAGCACCCACAGGAGGAAGGATGAGGTCTCCCCCCCGTCCGATGAAAACGCCAGCACCAGGAGCTGGGCAGTAGCCCAGGCTGAGGGAGGAGGCTGGGGGCTGGGGGCTGGAGCTCAGGGCACCCCCAGGCCACAGCCCCACCCTGAGTGGCCCTGAAAATAGTGCACAGTGCTGGGTGCAGCCCGGCCGGAGGCCCCTCACTGTTAAGCGTTCCGGCCACAGGCCACCGGATGGCCCTTCCTTGTGGCTCAGTGCCACGGGCACTTGCAGGAGCTGCCTGCATGGTGCTTTGTGCTTTGGTTTCAGGGAGCTCCCTCCCACCTCGGGGTCCCAGAGTGGGCAGCTGGGCAGGTGTGACAAGGGTACCATGGGTGCCTGACAGTGCCACCCACAGGGGCAGTGGTGCTCCTGGTGAAGTGGCAGCAACAGTTACAAACCAACCCCAGTCCAAACCCCAGAACCCCTGTTTTTCCAGCACTTGGGTCCAGAATGTCCCCATCACCTCCTGGCCCAGGGGCTGCTGCTGTGGCAGGAAGACGGTCAGCCAGGAGGAAAGCGAGTGTGGAGGCCAGTCAGGAGAGGAGCCACGAGCAGAGGATGCGAAGCTGGACCCGCCAGGTTCACAGCCCGCCTCGGTAGCTCCCAATCAGGATCTGCTTTGCGTTCCACAGCCTCCAAACACTTTCCTGTTCTCCATAGCCAGGTCACACCTTCCCCAACCTTCCACAGCTCTGGCCAGGCCCACTCAGCTTTCCTTGAAAACCACTAAGGCCCAGGGGGCTGTTAGAGAGTCTGGAATCGAAGCCAGAGCCGTGGCCAGGGCAGCCCCGCGGGGTCACAGCAGGACAAGGCTAGGGTGTCGCAGCTGCCGGTACACCTGCAGCAGCCTCTGGGCGGTGGCGCAGGAGCTGGCCTCATCCTCCGTACAGAGCCGGTCACGCAGGGTCTGCACCTCCCGCAGCAGCGTCTGCAGTGGAACAGCCGCAGCTCAGGCCCCACCTGGCCCTGGGGACGTCACTGGTGCCTTTGGGGGACCCACCACTTCAGGACCATACTTGGGAAGTGGCAGGTGGTCCGAGGAAGAACCTTCAAACATGGGAGACGCAGCCTGGCCTAGACACCAACCCTCAGGTATGATGAGGGGCAGGAAACAGCCGTGACCATTCAACTCTGTCCCTGGCCCGTGGGAGCCACACTCATGTGCTGTGAGGACTTCACAGACCCCAGGTGACAGGACGGGGGCCAGGTGATTGGCGCTCCTGGCTACCCACGTGGAGGGACTGCCCAGGACCCTGGGTGACTGGACGGGGGCCAGGTGATTGGCGCTCCTGGCTACACAGGTGAAGGGACTGCCCAGGACCCCAGGTGACTGGACAGGGGCCAGGTGCTCACCTCGTGGTTGGCATGGATCTGGCGGAGATACTGCACACGCAGATCAGGAGCACTGGAGCCCTGGGCAGCCTGTTCTGTCACCATCGTCTGGGGGTACACAGGACACACTGGAAGGGATGTATCCTAGCACCTGCCCCCACTTCCCTTAGAGCAGGGAGACTCTCTCCCTCTGCCCAGTTCTGCCTCCCAGCTTCGCCCCCCAACCTGGCACTTTGCTGTGTTTTCCACCCTGCTGTTCACCTCGACTTCCTGCCCTCCAGAGTGGCAGGGCAGAGCCCCTGGCCTGACGGTTTCTTGGAAATAAATTTGTTTGGTTCTTTCCTCTCCACTGCTGGGATCTTCCCTGTCCCCAAGAGCCACACTCTGTGCAGATCCATACCTGCCCACCTGCCCCCTTCTCCCATCCTGGCCTTCAGGCTACTCAGGAGCACAGAGCAGCCGGAAGCTGCCTCAGTGTCTTGTGCAGAGACCCTGGCCTACCATTCACTCATTCCTGCAGCACAGCCCACTGTGGGCTGTGCCATCCACTCCCTGGGCTTGGACCCAAATTCCCAGATGGGATTGGGCATGGTGGCTAACACTTGTGATCCCCATACTTTAGGAGGCCTAGGCAGGTGGATAACTTGAGATCAGGAGTTCGAGACCAGCCTACCAATATGGTGAAATCGCATCTCTACTACTAAAAATACAAAGAAATTAGCCGGATGTGGTGGCGGGAGCTTGTAATCCCAGCTACTTGGGAGGCTGAGGCAGAAGAAGCCCTTGAACCTGGGAGGTGGAGGTTGCAGTGAGCAGAGATATCACCACTGTACTCCAGCCTGGGTGACAGAGTAAGACTGTCTCAAATACACAAGTAAATAAAAATAAATTTCCAGAAGAGCCTGGGCAGTGAGGCCCTGCAGGCCCTAGAGTAAAGCAACTGGGAAGAGACCTCAACACCCTGAGGGGCAGCACTGGCCCGCCTGGTTCCCTAAGTGCTGGCAGCTGCCGTGCGCTGGGCAGGGTCCTAAGAGCACTCCTGTGCGTGGAACGGGCACCTCGCTGTTGGGAGACACTAAGGTCTGTGGCCTGAGCCAAGATCTGTGTCCAGGAGGCAGCAGCAGTGCGTGGGCTCCTCTGGGGTGACTCAGGCCCCCAGATTCACATGGAAGTTCTAGTGCCAGCACTCAGAGCCTGGCTGCGCCTGGAAATGCGGTCTCTGCAGATGATCAAGATGAGGTCACTGGGGTGGGTCTGACCCCACACACCTGTGTCCTTGTAAGAAGAGAGATCTGGACACAAACCCAGGGCTGGAGCTCTGCTCTCAGCAGGGGACAGGATGTTCTTGGGGACCAGATGGCCCAGTGGACAGAGCTTCCTCTGACAGAGCACCACCCTCCTCCAGCCTCCCAGCACTCAGGATGAGACCCCCGAGCCCAGGCAGCCCCACTGTGGTGCCGTGAGATCACTGGGGTCACGGTGCTGTGTGACATGCCCATCAGGGTCACGGCAGTGTCACAGTGCAGGCTGCAGGGTCCTTGCACCAAATGAGATCTCCGGTTCCTGGTGCTGTGTGAGCTGGTGTGCTCACTGGGGTCCACCATCTGAGCTACCGGCTGGGGCTGGGTAGAGCCACTGCTCACCGCAGGGCCTGGTCACCAGGCATCACCACGGCGCCCATAGGAGTTGAGCTGGCATCAGGCCGCAGGCCCTGGGTCTCAGGCTTGGGCAGGCCTGGGCATGCAGATCAATGACGAGCCTGGGTGCAGCAAGGCAGGGACCACCCCTAATAACAAACTCCAAAAACTATTTCTAGAGTCACTGCAGACCCACTATGGGCCGAAGCTGCACTACAGTCCTAGTGGGCGGGCCTGACAGCTGCCCCACCAGGGGCACCAGCATAGACTTCTTTAGCTCGAGAGCTTCTCAGATCTGGCAGCTGCTGGCCCAAGCTGGCTCTAGGCACAGCATGGAAGCAGCTATTCCTGTGCCAGGGAACCCCTGGGGCTGTGAGTGGGGCAGGCTGCAAACTCCACTCTCTTGGCAAAGACGTGTAGGCTTCCAACACCTGGATCCAGAATCCACGCCCAGGCCACGGCCTCTCCACGCAGCCTCTGCCCAGCCAGGGGAAGGGAGGAAACCTCAGGACCACCCCACAGGTCACAAATAGAAACCCACTGGCCTGACAGCCCTGGCAGTGCGTGGACCTGCAGGTGGGGGCGGCACATTGGCCTCCTGAGCGGGTCTGCCCCATGACTCTCATCGCCCACAGCCCCACCTCGAACACCGCACTCAGCTGCAGAGTGAGTGTGCATCTTCCAACAGTTCCGTTGCGGGGAGCCGCAGACCCAGAAGCCAGAAGCTACAGGGTCCCATCAAGGACCTCAGTGAGCGACCCACAGACCCTAGCCTCCTTCCTGAGAAGCCCATATACCTGCATGCGCCCGATGACGGCATGGTGCGCCCTGCACATGTCGGCCAGAGAGGAGCTTTCCACTTGAATCTCCACAGCCTGGATGGGCCCTGCTGGGCAGATGTCGGTCATGGCCACCTGCAACACATGAGCTGCCTCACCACCTGCCTATGGCACTCCCACCTGCCCTGGGGGCTCAAGACTACATGGGACCCTCCCCAGCTGGCAGCACATGAGGCTTGGGAGGGTCCCAACCCCTGCCCTGGGCTGTCCTATACCCTGAAGGCGGACAGAGCTCAGTACCCTGATCTGGGTTTTTCTACCTGAAGAACCAGCCTCCAACCAATGGCAAGAAACCACTTGTGTGCACACAGATGTGTCCAGGAAGACCCTGTCCCTCAGACCAAGGAATCCACGCAGGTCCTTGAGCCAGACTGGGGCCTACTCCAGGAAACCACTGCTGTGCTGCGCCTTGTGGACAACCTGTATGTAGATCCTGTCATGCCCTTGGGGGCCCAGACCCACCCCCCACACTGGGAATCACAGATCATGTCTGCAGCAGGGTTAGGGCACTGGTGTGGGTACCAGGAGCTGCTGGGCCTGTCTATGGGATAGCTAAATCTCCCTTAGTAAATTTGGACTGAGCCGAGCTGGACAACAAAGAATAGCAAGAACAGGCCAAGAGCCAGGAAGCCAGGCTTGTTCTTACACAGCACATGAAGTGAGATGCCAGGGGCCTGGGGGCCACAAAGGACACTGTCCTCTGTGGCTTTTCCACAGGGCTATCAGCACCGACCCCCAGCGCCACCACCAGACCTAGCCTCAGGGCTGAAAGGGCTGTGTAGTAGGCAGCCAAGGTACCTGAGGGCCAACGCTCAAGCCTGTAATCCCAACACTTTGGGAGGCTGAGGAGGGCGATCACATGAGGTCAGGAGTTCAAGACCTAGCCAACTGGGGCTGGGCGCGGTGGCTCAAGCCTGTAATCCCAGCACTTTGGGAGGCCGAGGCGGGTGGATCACGAAGTCAAGATTCAAGACCATCCTGGTCAACATGGTGAAACCCTGTCTCTACTAAAAATACAAAAAATTAGCTGGGCATGATGGCACGTGCCTGTAATCCCAGTGACTCAGGAGGCTGAGGCAGGAGAATTGCCTGAACCCAGGAGGCGGAGGTTTCGGTGAGCCGAGATCACGCCATTGCGCTTCGGCCTGGGTCACAAGAGCGAAACTCCGTCTCGGAGCGGGGAAAAAAAAAGACCTGGCCAACATGGTGAAACCCCATCTCTACTGAATATACAAAAATTAGCTGGGTGTGGTGGCACGCACCTCCAGCTACTCAGGAGGCTGAGGCAGGAGAATCCCTGGAAACCAGGGAGGTGGAGGTTGCAGTGAGCTGAGATCCAGCCGGGGACTGAACTCCAGCCTCTGTCTCAAAAAAAGAAAAACAAGTGGAGACTCTGAGCCCCGGGCAGCCTTGCCCATCCTCAGGGACACACGTGACCTGGCAAGCTGGGCTACTCTTCAAGAGCCTCTGCAGGTGGGATGTGAGGATCTGCTGGAGGTGATGTTGGCACCATTCATGAGTCACTGGAAAGGTGTGCACGATGGGCCAGGGACCAGAAGCGCCATTTGCCATTCAGCAGCTTCCACAATGGGTCCCGAGTCCTCTGGCAGTGCAGGGGGTTAGCGGGGGATTAGTGGTGGCTGCTCCTGGGGTACAGGTGTCACCCAGCAGCACTGTGGACCCCGCTATGACTTCATTATGTGCAAGGGAAAGGGGCCCCTGTGGGGGACAGGGCTGGACAGGGACAGTCCTTGGGATCTGAGCTGCAAGGCCCTCTCTGCCTGAGTGGGGTCTGCTTGGTGTCAAAGGAAACGGTCACATCAGAGCCCTCTGGAGGGCTGGGGAAAGGCTGCTGGGCCCCCACCCAGGGGGAGTGGTCCTCCTGCCAGGGGCCCCACTCTGAGAAATGCTGGCGCCAAGGCTCGTTTCCCTGAACCCCTGCTTGCCTCTCGAACGATGAGGTGAACATCAGCCCCATCAGGGGCCACTCCCTGGATGGAAGATAGTGCTCGGGCCCTCACAACATCCACAGCAGCATTTTCAGCCAGGAGCCACTGCAGGGTGGCACAGCACAGGGGCACGCCTGGAGGGGAGGCACAGGGAGAGCTCAGCCCAATCCACCAGGCGGGGACCTGCATGATGGCCCAAGGTTGCCTCCCAGAGCAATCTCAGGATCCCAGCTGCTCACAGCCCCACCCTAAGCTTCCACATGGCCAGCTGACCCCGAGGAAGGAAGGAGCTGCCGCCGCTTGACTTTCTCGCTGAGCAAGTTCTACGATGGTGGTGGCAGTTAAGACCCGTGGAAGGAGAAAACCTCACTCAGGGGGACCTGCCGACGCTGCTGGGGGCTGATGCTAGGAACAGGTGGTTCCACCCTGGCACCAGGCAGAAACATCCCATGGGATGGCTGCGGCGGCCCTCTCTGCACAAGCCCAAATCCAGAAACCATCCACACACCCTACTGCAGCACAACGGTGACATCTGCACCAGGGACAGAGGGCCTCACACACATGGAGGAGCAAAGAACAGAGAGAAGGGACCACACACTCCATTCCATGGAGCTCACACACAGGCCTGATGAACGGTGCCAGGTTTTGGGGTGAGCACAACTGATGCTCTTCCCAGGTGCCCAAGTTGTGAAGCTCACAGTGTGGCTCCTTTATAACTCTTCTGTATTTAGGTTATGCTTCCATATATAAGTTTAAAAAACACAATTTAAAAGAAATACACATGGTGAGAGGGCACCACGTAAGGCCAGATCCTAACAGCTAACAGGACGCAAGCGAAGCTCATTTCCTGAGCAGAGCTCGCTGGGCTGGGGGCCGGGCTGCCCCAGGAGCAGCTGGAAGAGGGAGGAACAGCCCATGTCCACA